TACTGTCTCTTATTGATCTCCACTGGGGACTGAGTTACAGCCTACATGGCTCATTGATCTGACTGAGTAGGGAAGTTCTTATGGCTTTACGTTGTGGATCTAATCCTTAAGTCTGTTCTGACTGAATTGCTACAACTTACTTTCTTACTCCTTCCATCCTTGGACCCATACGCCAGGGAAGAGCTAGTAGAAGAGCTGAGCTAATGCCTTGACGAACACTTTTTGTCTGGAAGGGATCAGGGCAGGAAGCAAATACAGGAAAAGGTTCTATAATGGAAGTTGATAGCCTCAGTCCATGGTATCTTGTGATGTGCCAGACTCTGCCCTCCTCTCTCCTCTTTGTCCTCCCTCTCTGCTGTCTGGGCTCTCATTTTCCTGATGCTGGAAGACTGCCACAGTCTCCAAATTGTGATATCTCCCTACTGAGGTAAGAATATCTTCGAATTTCTTAGCTTCTGAGCTGTGAGGGAATGCATTCATGCCAATCACCGTGACTGTAGGAAAGCTCAATTCGCTAACTTATAATACAGCTCAAAGTCACCTCCTCCCATTTACAATGTGATGTGAATTCCTTTTCAGTGCTGCCTATAAGGGCAGTTAATTGCTGTTTCTGGAGCACAGACTTGCTTACTTTTTCACTCCACAGAGTGAAGGCAATAATTCATCAAGGAGGAAGGAACTATGGAGCTCATTGTCATAGAAGAAAGTTTAACAGGCTTTCAAAAAAGGACAGGTCATTTTTATGAGTAACAGTGGTATTTCAGTTTAAATTAAGGCTCATAAATTGAAGCTAGCTTCCATCTGCCAAGAGCCAGGAAAAGACCTGTGGAGGACAAATTACTCCTATGAGTATCATGGTTTCTTCCTCAGGCTTTGAGATGAGTGAGTATGACAAGGTTGGCTTTGTTGCTTCCCCAAACATTAGCTGCGCTGCAGGTCTCCCATTACTCACTGGGACGTGCCCTTCTTTCACTGTCCACCTCAGGCTCCAGTCTGGCTACACAGGTAAACTTTATGCACAGGGTAAGATCCTGAGCCCAACAGAACCGTCTCGTGTGAATAGTGCCTGTAATGAGGGGCCCCTCCTCGCAGTCAGGATCCTCTAGATGCTTTACCCATGCTAAATAGCAATAACAGCATTCACCAGCAGTGCCTGTAAATGTGAACAGCTTTCTCAGGTGGCTGGCAGGAGATCTTTCCCTTGTTACATGAATTGACTTAGCTGCAGTCCTCCACTGCTGTGCCCTGCAGCCCCCACCCGCTGTTTCTCCCTCTCCAGTATGAACCTGACACACTTATTTCTCATGTTTTTCCTGCCCTCGGCTATGAATTACATTACTGCCACAGTGATCTCTGTGCTAGTAGTAGTTAGGAGAGAGAGACAAACAGAAACCATGTGCTCTGGGCTCTCTACAAACAAAAACAAACTTTGAGTCTCCGGTTGGGATTCCTACTAAAAGAAAAGAAAAGGGGGAAATAAAAAAAGGGAAGAGGTTTAAACCATTCTGTGCCTGGGGTCACGTCACTGCCTGAGCTGTTGAGAAACTCTGCGGCACTTTCAGACTTGTGTTTCTCAGCCTGACTATACTGGTGTTACCATTAAATCCCTAACTGCTGTTAACACCAGCAGAGCAGTGGCCCAGATGTCACAAAAGCAAATGCTGCCCCTCGCCTGCTTGTGCTGCTTTGCCAAGGCAGCAATATGGTGGGGCATGGGACTGGGGAGAGAATGCAGCTGGAAGTGCAAAATGCTTGTTCTACAGCCTCTTCTTTATTGCTCTGTTAGCCACAGAGACAGGAAGCTTTATAGAAGGTGAAGGCATCTACGTACCATCCATGGTGCACACAGTGTCTCAGAAAGGGAGTGATGCCATGGTACAAGGTTGCCGATACCTAAAGTATGGCTTTTGCTAAAGGTAGTGGGACACGGGAGACAGCTGTCCCTGATTCATGTCCAAAGCATTATTTGACAAGGCTTCAGGCCTCGTTTTGGTGAATTCTAGCTGCTGATCACATTTATACTTTACTTCATTTTACACCAGGAACACATCTTCCCTCAGCACATGTGGCTTTTTTAAAACAAGGAGAGTTTTGATCGTAATTATCCGTAGAGCCTGGGAGTTCCTAACATGAACCAGACCCTCTAGCTCTGGATCCTGAACATACCTAACTAAAAAAAATTGCCTCTGTCCAAAGCATTTTACAATCTCCATAAAAGTCAATGGTTAGATGCAGACAGATGGGCAAAGATGAAACAGTGTGAACCAAGAAGTAGTAAGAAAGGCAGAGGGCATGCAGCCAGTAGATTCTGAGGCTGTCTTTATGTTCCAAGACACAGAAGAGAATGTGATTTTGATGATTAGGATCCTACTAAGGGGTAAAGCTCTTTTTAGGAACCAAACAAAAAGTCTACAGCTATTTGTTTGATCCAATTTGTCGCTGCAGCCAGTCCAATGTCCTGCTGTAAGTCTTGTGGGAATAAGGTTTCTTCCAGCCAGATTTAGTGACGTTCCAGCATATGGGATGATTGAACTACTCCTCAATGGAGGCATGCAGCAAGGATTTTTTTTTTCCACTCCTTATCTTTGTCAAGAAATACATTCAGTTAGCAAGTGTGTAGGATCTGTTTTGTTGAGCTCTCAAAAGCAATTAATTTCATGTCAGTAACTCTACAGTTTGACCTGAATTTCTTCAGTTTCTAGTCCCCTGCCTCCCTCTCCCCCTAGAAGCAGTATTTCAAACTCCTTCTTCCATCTGCTCATCCTTAACCTGAAGGGAATGCATAAAACATCTAGATGAACAGCAGACGCAGGACATTTATGTGCAGAAAGATCGACAGAGAACAGACCTTAATAACGTGTTTCAAAGTCTGTCCAGAGCCAGATGGGTTCCTGGAGTTCAGCATGAAAGGCAGTAGGTGTTGGTTGTCTAATTCCTTTGAAATCCTCACCGTGAACCTTTGCCTCTTGTTAGAAGTAAAATTTTCAAAGTGAGGCATGTCTCTGACATTTTCCCTGATAGCACAGATTACACCGAGGGCAACACTTTTGGGTTTTGTAGCCTAAATAAAAGTGAATGGATCTGAGCAGATTCAAACAAATGTGGTGATTTGTTGTCCGAATTGATTCCAGCCATGAGTCACCGAGGCTCTCAAAACCAAATACCAATTTCATACCTGGAGCCTGAGTTGTTAAACTCAGAAGCTGTTTTGACATTGACTTAGTAGGGTTATATCTCTGAGCATCTTTCTGTAAGTTGCAGTATCTATATGTGGGAGGTCTTCTATTTGGTTTTTTGCTGGATTGCTGTGAAATCTTTGAGAGGTTTATGAGGCCGAAGGACATAATGAAATTGCTTCTGGCCCTAAAACTGACTGATCGAATCCTAGGAAAAGTGCAATAAGTGTTTTATGATAGCAAAATAGTGTTTATTTTTAAGAAAACTGGCTTGTTTGTCATGCAAAAGACCTAAGGCAACTGCAAAGTTGGTTACTGGATTGTGCCTTCTCTTTTTGCTGTCAGTGGGATGAGCTATAGTCAGCTACAGTTGAGTAGGTTAGAGAACATCACTTTGTGTTTGTCCAGTGTTATTTTACAGCTTCCTTTGCAAGCAAAGAGACTGACATGGCAAACGCAGAATCCTCACCTGATGATCCCAGGAAACACACTGGCTACTTGAATCCCTGTGGAAGTGATTTCAGTAACTGGAGTGTTTTGCATTGAGCTGAGAAAAAATCATTTGATTGCAAAACTGCAACTTGGCACTCACCTTCCTTTACCATTCACAAAGAACGAGCAGACAAATGATCTTGTCTCAGGTGACTGAACGAGTAACATTCTGTCTAGCTTTCACAGAATCACAGAATGTCAGGGATTGGAAGGAACCTCAAAGGATCATCTAGTCCAATCCCCCTGCCAGAGCAGGACCACCTAGATCAGAGTGATGCTTTGGTTGCTGGCGTCAGCATAATGCCCTGGCTGCCTCCTGGAGCCATCTTCAGCTGCAAGCACTATTTAAGATGTCCCCTCTTTTGTTTTATGACACTGTGTCCCAACTCGTTGTAGCTTATACTTTACATTGTGCTCTTATTTTACAATGCATCTGAAAAGGGGCTGGGAAAGGACTAAAACCAGACACAGATATTTTCTGGTGAAGAATACGCAGCTCTACCGTAAGAAAGCTTGGTACAGTCAACTGGTCTCAGGACTGGAAATCAGGCAGTCCATGCTCTCCTGTCGCATTAATGAGTCTAGAAACTTTGAACTTCACACAGGCAAGCTTGTTCAAGAGATTGACCGCATGTAAACTATTCCAGTTTTGTCACTCCGGAGCAGATATTTGTCACCAAATCTCCTTCTGTGAACAACGAAACAGACTCCAGTGCAGCCTCGTTGTTTAGGGGCTTATCAATTCTAATTGATTGGGATGGGGTAGAGGGGAGCAAACTGATAGCCAAGGATGAAATGACCGTCTGAATATTTGAGTCTTTCCAGTAGATCCCATTTCACTTGCTTGAATCAATTATTGTCAAAGGGAGCTTCTCGTGTTATCAACAAATTGTTGTACGTGGCTTTGCAAAAGCTATGCTGAGTGGTTTCTAGAAGAATGATGTATAGCAAGGAAAAGAAGCACAGATTTTGCCATCCTCCTGTTGCTGTTTTATACTTATGTCATTTATTTGTGTTGTGATTACACTGCAAAATCCAAGTTTGGCCTTTGGCACTGGCTGTGTGACTTGCCCTGAGAGGCAGAGAATGGGACCAAACCCAGATATGCTTGCTGGTAAAGATAGAAGCTGCAGACAGCCTCATAGACTCTTACTGCTGACCCACTGGACAGACAATCCTCCTGTTTCATAGTGTAAGAGAAGTAATGGACAGAGATAAACCATGAGAAGTTTTGCAAGTGAACAGAATTAGCTTGTTTATTTTACATAGTTATTAATGTGCATGTGTATATATTCACTATATATGATGATTTAAATGTATTTCCCTGTTTAGGAGTATCAGATGCCTGCGGAATATTATCCACTGGAACTTGATCACTACATTCATCCTGAGGAACGTGATGTGGTTTCTGCTTCAAATGATAGATCACAACATACACGAAAGCAATGAAGTAAGTGCGTGGAGGTAGCTTGTCTCTGCCATGTAGTTTGGGGGCAGGCAGGGATGCTGGATTTGTTCAACTGATTGAAATATTACAAAGGACACCTATCCACATGCTCAGAGTGACTTTCATGTAATTTCAAAAAGACGAAGAAAATGAGCTTAGAATCTCTAGATTCTCATTTATTTCCTCATTGCTGAATATCAAAGGATCGATATCAAAATATCAAAAATCCCACCCAAAAGTTTCTTTCTTATCTTCATTGACCATAGATACTTTCCAAATGTATGTACTGTGAGACACAGTGTTGCACGAGACACTAAATTAGGTGGTTCTTGAACATTTTTGTCAGAGCACCTTGCAATGATGTGCACCTGTGCAGGAAAAGCATTCATTCCAGAGGGCAACATCTCCATGAACAGAGGATGGAAATAATTGATTTGGCTGTTGAGGCTCTGAGACAGCTACTTTGATGACAGTGGGCACCTAGCTGCCTGGAGGCAGTGGGACTCTCAAGAAAATAAGGAATAGGGCCTGAAACAGTACAGATTTTGCTTGTTGATAGCTTTGTAGGGTTTGTTTTTACAAAATTCCATTTTTCTGCTAATCCCTTCTTCACCACACTGGCCTTAGGATGAAGTTCTGTGATATGGGCTGCATCCAGCAGCTGCTCCCTGTCACTGAAAGGGATGGCTCATTCCTCCAGGGACCCAAGCGCTTCACTCCAGCTCCTTTTGCACTAGCTCTGTTCCTTTTCTTGATCTGTTGGGGAGGACTGAACCCTTGGAGACTGTACTCCCTAAACTGGTTGAGATCTAATCCAGACAACAAAAAAGGAAGGAGGAGATTTCTGCTGGCATAGGTATCCAAGTCAGCTTTCTGATGGGTGAATGAGAGTCAGAGACGGTTTAATAGACCAGACAGATCCACACAATAAAAAATGGGAAGGCTGAAGGGGACAAGAAGTGGGATGTCTTCTTGGAATGGCATTGAGCACTCTTGAGAAATACAGCATGTTACCATGGTCCCGTTTCTCTTATTCTCCGTGTTATTTCTTGTTCACTCAAGCAACTCCCAACTGCAGATGCTTGTCTGAGTGAGTACAGTGAATCAGTCCCTATGGAAGTATTGTAATGCCTCCCCCCATTTAATCACCCAGGATCCCTAATGGTACGAGGATTTGAGAGTGGATTAAAAGCATCCACTCCAAAAGAAAAAGCATTTTTCTTTATTTTCTCGGGGAATAGTTCTACATTTCCTTAGCAAGTAGTCCTTTTTGATAGTCCCTTGGCAGGGTTTTTTACTGCTCTCTTTCCGTTTTAATATTCTTATAGTGGAATATTCTCCTTTTAGGGCTTTCACCTGATATTTGCATCCACAATCAAGAAAAAAGTGTGCTACACACACACATGGACACATACACACACACACACCCCCGTTCATACTATCTCTCTTTGGAAAGCAGGTGGACTAAAGTGCTTATAGATTGTGAGCTGGATCCGTAGCTGATATCAGTCAGTGTGACTCCATTCATGTGGGAGCTGGTTCTGTAGAAATTGAAAACCACCCCAGGAGCCTGGATATCCATTCATTTTAATGTGAGCTGGGCACTCATCATCTTTGATTAACTTTCCAAATGTAAGATGTGACTTCTGAACTTTAATCTCATACTTTGGGCAAAGGAATAGAAAAGTCATTAGTACCTAGATAAAGAAGAAGTCTGTGCATAACTCTATATTATTATTGAATCAGATGCTCCTTTGAGAAGATGTAGCTTCTATTAATTCACTAGTTGCTTTGTCCGTGTTTCTGATGTTTTCAGACTACAGAAGATGGAGATGTATGAGCTTTATTGTTGACAGTTTTATGCTCGTAATTTACTCCCATGACAATGCTGGAAATCTCAATATAGATTTTTAGTGTTATTTGGGAAAAATCAGTTGGAGTCAGGCACTTAAATACCTTTTAAAATATGACCACAAAGTGCCAAGAAAAATGTAAACTTGGAAATCTAAGGTCAGATCCTCGCATGCCTCAGTTTTCATTAACTCACCTTCTCTCTGCAGAACACTGCAGTCTTTTTGGGAAGGTGCTTTATACAAGCTTGGTGATAACTTTGTTATCTTCTTATTGAGGTATAAGTCAGAGTCAAAATAACACCACCAAAATCATTTATGCTAGCTAATGATGTGATCTCTTCTATACTGATCAGTGGAGATTAAATAATGCAGTTACGGAAGCATCAAGGACTCAACGTGGAAACATTTTGCATGAAGTCGTGGTGCTTATGTTAATAAATCAAGAAGGGGAATTGCTGAAGATATCTGGAGCCAAATGGTGAATGCATGTGGGGATCAAGAATCCTCAGTCAAATAAATGAAAAGGTATAAATTAATGAGTTCTGCTAATTGGGTTTATTATTCAATGATAATAAATCCACAGCTCCAAAAGGAGTTGCTCAAAATTCATTTTATTCTGGTTTCCTATGGAAACGATGCAGAGGGAGATCTCACCACCATTATGTGTATTTGTCTGTATCTGTCTGAGTATCTTCCCAGCCCACTGGCCAGTGCCACTCAGTTCTGGCACAGGAACGACAGGCTCGGATACAATTATCTTTTTACCATTTTTTTGAAAAATGGGCAGCTGTGGAGAGGACAAAAACTGTGTAAGTGCTGCAACTGAGGGAGAGAGGGGAATGAGAGTCTAGACATTGTATCAGAGAATTTACATGAGATTGAGGCCACAGGGAAAGATTTAATTCATGCTCATACCTTCAAAAAATGAAATGTGAGACTTAGAGTCTTTGGAAACCTATTCTTACTAGTTTGGGGGTCAATCAGGAATGGAGCCAAAATATTTGTTTGATGTTAGTCACAAATAGGGGTTTTTTTGGTTTGTGGCTTTATTTTCCTTTGCTCAGTCCAAAAGGAGAAAAAAAAAGAAAATTTTTAATTTTATTTAAACAAAAACCAAAAGATTTCATCTTCTGAGTTGTTTCAGTTTTTAATCCTGTTTTAAAGATGAAGCCAAACCAAATTTCAGTTCTTAATGAAATAATGTAGAAATGAGAGCTTTAATACGTCCAAAAGATTTCTTCTGTTTATTTCAGCTCAATATACAAAAATGATCACAACTTGTGAATGGGCTATCATTTTGTAACTCTTTTTCTTGCCCAAAAAATTCTTAGTCCACAGAATTTTGCTGGGCTTGATAGTGCATCTGCTGCTCTATTGACTGCCTAGAGATCATCAATGCCTCGTACATACGAAGTCTGAAATAAAATTAACTGAGGGTCAAAAGTTTCAAATACTTTTGTAGAATTAGTTAAAAGTCTGGAGAATGGTGAAACCAAATTGACATCAATGGTACCAGCTAACACAGGTAATTAATGTCATGCTTCAGGGAATACACTGAATGCCTGCTTGGTCAGAAAGACATTTTCCCAGACTTCTGTGTGTAGCACTATGGAAATTACCATCAGTAGTTACTTGTGATTTATTGATGGGATGTTACCATCTGCCTCTCTGTAGCTGATTGTGTATTCCACGGCTGTGCTCTCACCGCACAGCTATTAGGAGAAGATGCTTTTACTGATACATTGAGCCTGACCAAAAATTCCTGTTGAAGTTACAGCAAAATTCAGATGTGATGTGTGTAGTGGCATGACTTACAGACGGAAGCACTAATGGCAGGAATAGATGGGAGGAAGTAGCTGATAAAAGCATATCTTTAAAGTAAATATCTTTTTCCTAAATGTCAGTGGTGCTCCTTCCCTTCAGTGGAAACGAAGGAAGACTGGGATGTTAACTTCTACCTCATATTTTCTTTGAATTGCTCAGTAGGTTACTTATACTGCCTAAGATATGCTTAAACTCTTATGTCATCTTTGGATACAACCCTAGGCTATGGCTGTACCTCTCTGAAAAATCACTTGTAATCAAATGACCTGCCTTCTCTTATCTTCTTTCCACATGGCTGCTTCTTAAACTGCTTGTAGACCGCTGGTGTGGATGTGCCTTATGGCCTGTTAACTTTCCAGACATGCTCAGGTACAGGAGATCCTGCATGCTGTGGTCAAAGCCAAGCCTCAGCAGAAAGTCACAGACATAGCTGTGAGTTCCTGACAGCACCTAAGATACTCTGATTCCAAGTCACAAGTATAAATCTGTATTCCATGAATGAATTCTACTATTGGTTTTTGAGGGAATAACAAGATACAGAATTTTTGAAATGTTCTCACCATGATTTTAAATGTTCTTTTCTGTTTCCTTTCCAGCCCTGGTGTCGATGTATTACCACTGTCTACAATTACTTTGTGGTGACCAACTTCTTCTGGATGTTTGTGGAAGGCTGCTACTTACACACTGCTATAGTGATGACTTACTCAACAGATAAGCTACGGAAATGGGTCTTTCTCTTCATAGGATGGTGTAAGTGCCTTGTGTGTTTAAAATAGTGTTATGTAGTACCTGACATTAAAGTGATAAAAACAAGAACAGCAAGAATAAACTTTAAAAATACCGCTGTGGTGAAATCTGACATTCAAATCTAACTGTGTGTCAGGACAACATGAGATCAGGTTCAGTTCGTCACTGTGGTGATGACATAAACCTAACAGGTTATTGCTGGATTTATCTTCTTTGTTTAGATCCTCAGAACCTGGTATTAAGGAAAGAAAGAGAACTTCCAGGCTCAACAGTTTGGGAATGCAGCAGTTCATACCATATCCCTTTCACTTTGATCAGCAAAGCAGTGGTCACTACACCTTATACACTGGTGCTGAGCACGGCATGAAACAGAAAAGGCCCTGTCCATGACTTGTGGACCACTCAGTCTCAAGAGACAGATGAGACACTTCTAAGTGAGGAGCTAGAGAGGAAGCCTAATTATCTGCCAGTCCAACCTTACAGCTGTCTTTCAGACTGCTGAGGGATTTGTTCCTAGAAAACATCCTTCAACAAAGAGTCATATCATCTTTTTACTATCCTTGTGGCTACTTAAAGAGAGAAAAATAGCTCATTGCGTGCCCTGTTACCTCACTTCTACTGTGTCGACCTGGGCCAGAGCAAAGGCTGCTCCTTTTCCCTGGCTGCATCAACATAGGTCCATCATATCGATTGGATCTAAGGAAGAAATTTTTTACAATGAGGGTGGTGAGGAACTGAAACAGGTTGCCAAAGAAGTTGTGGCTGCCCCATCGCTGGAAGTGTTCAAGGCCAGATTGGATGAGGCTTTGGGCAACCTGGTGTAGTGGAAGATGTCCCCTGCCCATGGCAGGGGGCTTGGAACTAGATGATCTTGGAGGTCTCTTCCAACCCAAACCATTCTGTGATTCTATGATCAGTACAGGCTGAGAACTGATTGTCAGAGTAGCAGCCCTGCTGAAAATGATATAAGACTTGCAGTGGTTGCAGGCTAAGTATGAGCCATCCGTGCCTTCTCATCATGAATAAAGTAAAACACGTACTGGACTACACTAGAAATGCAGAAGATTGAGGAAAGTCACTAATATTTTCTACTCAGCTTTGGTAAGGCTTACCTGGGAATACTGTGGTCAGTTTTAAGTGTCTTAGGTCAAAAGGGATGTGGAAAACTGGAAATTATCCAGTAGAAGGCTGTCAATATGATCAGGGGTCTAGAAGACATGACCTGTAAAGTATGGCTGAAGGAGCTGAGCTTATTTTATCTGGCAAAGAGGAAGCTAAGGAAGGATCTGTTAGGTACCAAGAATGATTTGAAGGATAACTACAAAGATGATGCGGCCAAATTCTTCTTGGTAATAGCAGGTGTTATAAGAAGGGACAATGGCCACAAATTGCAGACTGGGAGGTTCCAGCTGGACATTAAGAAAACAAAATTTACCAAAAAGGTAGTGCAACACTGGAACAGATGGCTTAGAAGCTGTGATATCTCTGACCCTGGAGGTACTGAAAATTCAGGAAGGCTAAGCCCTGGCTGAGGTGAGCCAGTGTTGATAGTTCTGATTTGAGGAGGGGATTGGACTGGATACCTTCAGAGGTCCTTTCCCACTAGTATATCCGTGCTTTGAACTTGGCCAGGAGAGGTTTGGCAAGACAAGCCCCATATGAACTGCTTGTTCACTTGAATGCAAAATCTGAAGTCAAACAGAACTAGTGAATTTGGAAGTTCTTTTCTAATGAAAGAAAAAAGGTGGAAGAAAGTCACGAATACTTTCTTTTCTGCAAGCAGAATAACATTTTGTTCAGAAATGCGTTTTCCTCCCAGATTTGCGCAGAAGTAATTGAATTGCAGTTCAGAAGATTAAAACAAAATATGTCATTCAATCCAAAATCGAATGGGAGGAAAGAGGAGTTGTAGTGTAAAGAGAAGGTTTATGTGGGAAATTGTTTCAATTGTTTTTTCAATATATTTCAGTTCTGTCACCAAACTGGAAATCAGCTGCTCACACAGCTCTCACAGACCCCCTGACTGTTTTGGTCCCTAGTATTTTCCCTCCCTCCCTCTCTCAGAGCCCTCTGTGTCTCTCATTACTGCTTGTAAGAGTGCTGTGAGCTGAATATTATTTTTCCTTTCCTCTCACCCTTTTGGATGCTTTCTGGCTCTGCTTTGCCTTCCCATACACGATCTTTCACCATCATTCTCAAATCCCTGTTCTTCGCTTCACAAGGAAAAGCAAGATGTTTTCCTGTAGAAGAAAGGACATGGCACGTTTTTTCTGTTTATGCCTAGCAAGAACATAGGGGAAACAAGTGCACTGGACCCTGTGAGTCAACAGTGAACAAGAAGGAAGACAACACAATCACTTGCAGGGCACAAGAGCTACCAAGGGTGGTGGTGCAGGAGATCAGATTCTTGCTGAGGTTAAAGATGACCACTTAGCAATTCAGTCTCTTCTCTAGTGTATTGTGGTTCTTTCCTCTGTGCTTCATCTCTTTAAAGTCTCCATTTCCCACAGAAGAGGCCATAAATGGGAGGTTAAAAGTCAATGTTAGATACAAAGCTGTACTGACACCTACATGAAGGTTTAAGTCATGTTGAGTCGTGAATTCACCTTAGAGTAGCAGTGATTTCAGAGGGACGTGAACCTGGAGGTTGGCATGAGGGATGGAGCTGGAGAAACTTGTCTTGCTGTTTGGTTTTGCCTGAGTTGACATGTAAAGGGGAAATGCAGAGGGGAAACTCTCCTCCTCCAATTTTGACCCAAATCCGGTCTTTGCTTGAGGAATGCCTGGGTGAAAAAGTTCCTGCTTCCCCCAGGGGTCTGTCAAAAGGCCAGCTCCACCTGGTAGAGTGATATACAAAAAGTTAAGACTAGCTGGATCCTTTAGAAAGGGCAAACAATGAATGAATTCTGACATTGCAAGATATCAAGAGATTCTCATAATCCTGTTTCTCAGAGAAGACTCAACTAAAAAAATTGTTGAAATTTTTGAAAATGTCTTCATCCAAAAAGCCTAATATGGTTACGAGCTTCTTGCAGCCTGGGAAGTAAAAATCTAAGCACCCACCTCCAAGTGATGTCTCTAAGATTTTGCTGTGTCGACTGCAGGGAAATGAAAAGGAACCAAAATTGCCTTTAAGCCAGCTAAAATTGTTCTGATCACTTATATAGAAATGTAGGTATATATGTGTGTTTGTTAATAATTTTATTAACTTTCCTTAGTAGTACTAGTTTTCTCTTTTTGAGATGATCTTTTTTATATATAAAGAGGTCCTAGCAATTGCAATGTCTCAAGTATACTGAGATAGGACAACTTGTATTCAGGGTTCATTAACCAAGACTCTCCTCACACAAATCTGAATCTACCTCTGTATCATCCATCCATACATGGCTTGTGATTAACTCCTGGTTTTTTACTGTTGCAGGTATTCCTTGCCCAATCATCGTTGCCTGGGCCATTGGCAAACTGTATTATGAAAATGAACAGTAAGTGATGTTAACATTTGTGTTTATGTGGCACTCTAAATAAATTAAGAAGTGCCTGCGGGCTGAACTGGTAATTTAGCAATAAGGCTGATGGATAGGAAAGAGGAAAGCTCAAATCACCTCCATCCAAATTCAGACCATCTCAAATTTCAGAGCACTACTTGAGTCAGCTCCTGAAAATACCATTCCCAAATATCCTTGGCCAAGCCTTGAAGCTTTCATTTGATAGCTTTATACATGGTTTACAGTCAGGCTACTCTCCTTCAGTGGGAGCTTTGCTTGAGTAAAGACCTTGGTAAAAACTAGGGTTTAGTGCTAAAGGATTTAGCCTTCCGGGTATGCAGAGTTCAGTTGGTAGTCTGGCAGGAATAGTCTTGTGGCTGGAATTTTTTGCACTTCTGTTTCTGACTTTTCCAATTGGAAGCCGATAGTGCATGAAATAATTGAAAAAATGTGGAAGATAAAGAAGCATCAATGTTTTGGGAAGTTTTCACCCAAACATCAATACTGGTCAGATATAGCTCAGCTTGTACTTTTCAGGTAGTGTTTGGATCAATGTCTATCATCTGTTACAGCTCCGTTCCCTAACCTTAAAAAAATTCTCCATGAAAAAAAATTTTCTCCATGAATCTGTTTCTCCACACTGTTTGTTTGCAGTGCATCTGATTGAAGGTGTCTACCTACAGCATCTGCACTAATCTGTGGTCTCTTATGATCAGTGGTGATCAGTCAAAACAGTAAAAGCAGTCTGGGGTGCCTATCATCTCATCGGAAGGAGATGTCCAAAGTAGGTTGGATGAATTGGACTTATGTGCACAAGTTCTCCTGACTATAAGGGAGACAGGATGACTGGCTGAGCTTTGGGTATCCGTGCAGTAGGCATGGGAGGTGTTCTGTTATGCACTACGAAGTTCCTCTTCTCTGCTTCTCACAAACTTTTTAACCTGTGACCAATCTCTCTTCTGTAGCTTTAATGGTGACTTTGAAGGTGATAATCTAATTCCCAGGAGTTACGCATACTGGCAATCAGACAGACACCCTTTCACTGAGGGAAAAGTTCTGTGTGATTCCATCTCTGTCTACAGTGATTGTACAGGAGAATTCATACTGTAGTCTCAAAATGGCAAGAAAGACTTCAGTTGGAACCTGTTCCTTGGGTCTCCAAGTCAATCAGCCCTGTGAGATAACCTCAGATCACCACATTTCCCTAATTTCTGTGCTCACAGACCTTCTTGTTTCTGGATGGGTAAAGGATCACAACATTCTGGGTCTGCTTCATGGTCAGGTTCCTCATAGTTTTTGCCTTGCACGAGCCTGGGCAGCATGGCAGCTGTCTCATTGTGCTGTAGGATTTCCAGCTCTAGAACTAGAGCAAAACAAAACAACCAAAACTTGTGTCCTGAAACCTGGAGAGGCAAAACACCACATGCTGTAATAATGGCGATGCACATTAAACATTTCTGTCGCGAGTTCAACACCAAGGTTTGAACGCCTCATTTTGGAAGACTGCTCATGGCTCCCAAAAGAAATAATGGAAAGTAGGACCCCTAATAGAAATATACCACGACATCTGTGATCACACCACACACAAGGTGGCTAGATGGAGAAACCACTGCATCATCTGTACCACTGACTTCTTTCACCATCATTGGATACCTTCAAAGTGAATGTGAAAGAATGTCCTCTAGGTGTATCATAGATATGAGGAAAGACATGATATGTTTATAAGGGTATGTGTGCTACCAGTTACCAGCAAAGGTGTAACTGGCCCAGATCCTCCACAACAAAAGAAAGAAGGATACAAAATACAGTCAGTAAGGCAAGAAAGATAAAGTGATCCTGTTTGGTATGCAGAGCATCCAGGCTGTTCCTGTTGCATCTCTAGACTCAAAGCTCTCTGCCTGGGGCGGATTATCAAATGGAGCTTGTGCTTTTAAATCCATGTCATGGACAAACCTGTATGCTCTAACTCGTGTATATCATTTGCCTCACATGATCACTGATAAGGGAGGTGCCAGGTTACTCTTGGTAGACCCAGACGATTAAACCTGATGTCTCGGGATGTTTTCACCTTCTGTCTTTAATGCTGCTGTTTGCCTTCGAGCCAGACGCTCACACGCATCCTCACTGCGCATCATAGCTACTCCAAACGCATCGAGAAAGTCCTTTTGGCTTCTGCCCACCATAGTGTGAGGTGTAGTGGCCTAGAGGCTCAGTGTTGGGCTTACTTATTGTCAGCAGTGGGGCCAAGATTCGTGTACTTTAGTCTGCTTGAGAAATTGATACTGGATGCTTCAGTAGTGCCATTCCTTTGATCTGGCACACGCACCCAGGCAGACAGGCAGAGCTCTTGTAAATGAGGAGCTGATAAGGGCATGAATCTGTGAGGCAAAGGCTGTTAAATGAAATCTGCTTCTCACATCTGCAGTAATTTTATATGCAGGGGAGACTCAGTGAAGTAAATGAACTGAAGCAAAACAAGAGATGAATACCTTGCTGAAGGCCTGTAAATTGTCATAAATAGTCAGTCACCTTCTCAAGCATTAAAGCATGTCCTACTTCAGATAGCCCCTCCTCGCTGTCCCCTGGCCTGAGGAAAGGAAGGGATTCTGCTACACCGTCAAACTGAAGCACGTGTAGGAATGCACCTACGTGTACGCGTGTGAGATGTGCACAGGTTGTGTATTTAACTTACTTATGGTCTGCTTTCCTCTCCAGTCCATCAGCCATTGGGACACTTTGGACTAAACTTTGTGGCATTTACAGAATACTTCCTCTATGCTGGGATAATAGAGAAAACATGCCTTTAATTTGAATTCCCTAAGTGTGTGGAAATGAGAGAAAACTAATCCCTGGCTTTGAGAAATAATTGCTGTCAGGACACTGGCTCATCTCTCGTGCAAGGAGAGACTGATAGAGCTGGGAGTGTTTAGACTGAAGAGGAGAAAGGCTCAGGAGGATCTTATCAATGTTTATAAATATCTTATAGGAGAAACTGAAGAAGATGAGGCCGGACACTTCTCAGTGGTGCCCAGTGACAGGACAACTGGCAGTGGCACAAACTGAAACACATGAAATTCCATCTGAACATCAAGAAACAACTTTTTACTGTGAGGGTGGTAGAACACTGGAAGAGGTTGCCCAGGGAAATTGTGGAGTCTTCATACTTGGCACTACTCAAAACCCAGTTGGGCACAGCTCAGCTGAGCAACCTGCTTCAGCTGACTCTGCCTTAAGCAGGGAGGGTGGACTGGGCAATCTCCAGAGGTCCCTGCCAACCTCAGCTATCTGTGAAAACAGTCTGCTCTCCCCAGTCAGCCTAGCTGTTACGCTCCATTTATCTTGACCGCTGGGAAAACCATGTGTTATTCCCCCGTGAGGTCAGACCTACCAAACTGGACGCATGCAGAAAACATGTGCTCTCCTGCAGCTTCCAAGACTGACTGGATAACCCAGAAGACAGCCCAAAATTCAGAACAAAATGGGAAACTTCTCTTCTTCGTCGAAGTATGCTTTTGATCTGTAAATTAAGTTGTTTGAAGGTTCAACTGGGGTTCAAATTACGTTATCTAGAGTAGTTTAAGAGCTCAAAATAGCACACAGGAAGAATGTTAAGAAAATGCTTCAACCAGCTTCCTAATTTTTTTCATTTTTGTTCTTACTGGAGACCATGTTCTGCATATTGAGGAAAATATAATTGGTACTGTGGCAAATATCCTGTCTGGAGTTTAGCAGTTCTTTAGCAAAATCTGACAACTCTGAAAAAAAGTCTCAATAAAAAACCCACACAAATTATTAAGAATTATTGTAGTAATTTCATTGATGGACAGTTGGTAAGGGGAAGAACATTAGTAAGATCTAATTAACAATAATGATAAAACCAGTGGTGGTTTTTGTTATATAAAGAACTATCAGAGAACCATGAAGAATATTAATTAGTGCTATTCAATAGAAGTGTGTTTACATATCTGAGACTAATCAGAACTGTCTTCCTCAATTGTCCTCTTCAATATTCAGGGAGTATTTGTTTAGTTTTTCAGAGGTAGAAAAAAAGAAAAAAAAAAAAAAGAAAATGTCTTTTATTTCACACAGATGGAAGTAAAATTCTGATGCACCAAGTAATTTTCAGTGGTTTAGCTTTCTCTTTTTAGTTTTAAAGAAATGTGCAGTGCTGATTTTATTGCAGAAATAATGGCTTATGTTGGATTGATTTAAAGTAAGAGTTAAGGTGACAGGTAGACAAGTTTGCAATATCTCAGCTAAGGTCCAGTTTGAGGAGTTAGACTGCAAATATGAAATACAGCTAATCAAATACAGACATATGTATCATGTCCAGCAGAAAAGCTGATGGTTTCTTTTTCTCCACTAACACCTGGAACATCAGGATCCCATGGAGATGCCTATGTTGTAGAAGTCTGCCTTTGGCCACAACCGTGTTCCCTCAAATTGTGTGAAAGTGCATATATACACATGATGCTTCTCTCAATGCAACCTTGGTCTAATACCGGGCTTCAGATACTAAATGTCAGCATTTTACTCTTCAGTGTGATCTTAAAGTTGAGCAATATTTAAATTCCAAAGAGCCATGGGCAGCCTTTGCCCTGCAACCTCACTTGTGTGCTACCAGCTCTGTTCCAAATTCTGTGCTGACTTCTTCTAGCCCTCTAAGATCTGCCACATGCTTCAGCCTGTTTCTCGGTAGTCCCTCTGCTAGATTCCTCTCCTAGGACAGCCAGCTTCCCAGAAACTCCGCTTCAAATAGTTCTTAGTTCTTTGAGCTTCAGGAAATATATAATAGTTGTCCCAAAATGCCCTTCAAAAGCGTCTCTCAAATGTAGGTCTTGCAAGTTCTGGAAAGTTGTGTTTCCTGCCTTGGCATATCTTGCTCTTCATTTTTCTTCGTATCTTTTCATCTCCATAACAACAACAGCAAAAAAAAAAATCAGTTTCCTTCATTTAAGGCTGTCCTGGGGATTCTTCTTGGATGATAACTTGGCTGCAGGAAGTACCTTATTCCAAGTCTTGCTCTCATCACCACATTTTGGAAGATTAGTTGCAAAATTATCAATTTACACTAATTTGCAGTCAGTGTACCAGGGAATAACAGGCATGTTTTATATTTATCAAATATTCAGAGCTCTCTCATTTGTTTGGAACTTGGAAGATGTAGAAATTGAATGAAGAAAAGGCAAACGGTTGTGTGATACTGAATTGTGTTCCTAGGTATCTGCTGCATATCTCAACATTTCTGTACATTCAGTTCCGTAAGAGCATTTTGCAACAGGCAAACAGCTTCTTCTGGTTTAGCAAGCAGCATATTTTGGAGAAAGGCTTCAGGAGCATTATTCCATCTGAACCATAGCTCTCCTTATCTCAACTTACGTGCTTTGTGCTCGTGAGGTTGTGTCTTACAGACTGCAACTTCTTTGAGGCAACAAATATTACTTCTTGAATCCCTGTAAAAGTGCAAATCTGCACCTGTCTCCATGGCCTCCTTGGTTCAGGAATTACCCTTGTTTTCAAGTCTCCAGTGGCACTAAGCTTATCTTTTGTCACAAGGTGAACACAGGGAAGACATTTTTTGCTCTGTAGACCTTTTATGTGGTATCCACAAGGGGGAAAAAAACTCCCAGACCTTTGAACTCCAAAATCTACTTTCTAAGGGATCTGGAGCTCCAATGACCTAAACCTTAAGGCATTATGATAGCAAAGTTGTCTCTGCTTAGTGGAACCAGGATCCAGACCATGTAGCTGTATCTGTAATATTAAATTAGCTGGGCCTGGAATCACTTCTGGGGCTGGAGTCCAAATAGCATGGAGTAGTTCAAATCCATATTATTAAACCCTCTTGGCCTCCAAATCAGGGTAGCTGGAGTTTGTAGACTATTGGGAATGTCCTCTGGCTGATGCTAACTCCAGCTTCATTCCCCAGGAACAGTTTTGGAGTTGGCTATAGTTTGGCCTGGGCCAAAACTGCACCAAGGAAAATGTAATAGTGTGAGTGAGCCCAGGCCTAAGCCCGGCTTCTGATTCCTTCACTGACATAAATATAACTGATTTATTACTTGCAGTTAAGAGAATGAAGTGAACGTCAGTATGGGTCACCGTGAGATCACAGGCTTAGTCTGTTGTATAACACAGCAGGGAGAAAAACACTTGGAATTGCTGGAAGTGAAAGTCAAGCCAGCACTCAGCCACACATGACACATCCAAGGTCTCTGCTAGTTTGAGGGCCTCCAGTTTGCCTGTGCTTTCACCTAACCTGGGCTGATTTCCTTTTGATGATGTTGGATTGGGTATTTGCTAGCTTCAGATGATGTCTTGGTGCTGTATCCTGGATTTGCTGGTAACCAGCTTGGTTCAAAGCCAACTGGATGAACTCCTTATTCATCCAGTATCCTGCTTAGACAGTATCTCCATGCAGCATGAGACATTTGCTGTGAGCAATGGCCCTTTATGGAACTCAAGTGTCACTGGGCATTGCAATAGGTAACAGATTTTTTTTTCCCTTGCAAAGAATATTTCTTTCATCCCTTTTTCAGACCCAGCAGGACACATCTTCTGCATCCTCCTTATAGCAGTTTCTCACATTTCTTGGAAATATTTACATAGGCAATAGCCAAAAACATAGTGGGAACATGAATGGTCTAATGGGAGGGGAAAATAAGGCTCAGATCTGTGTCCAAACAAAAAGTGGCTTTGTAGCAGAAAACTCAGTCACTTACCGACTATGCACACGATTAGACAGCTCGGGGAATAAGGAAACATATCTCTAAGGTGTCCTTGATATTAAAATCTAAAAGAAGTTCATTCCCCTTTATAAATTATTTTCTCATGTATTTTGTTTCTTACAGATGCTGGTTTGGAAAAGAGCCAGGGAAATATATCGACTACATATATCAAGGGCCAGTGATTCTTGTTCTTCTGGTAAGCATGTATGTGGGTGGAAGGACACTGCCATGTCCCATTGAGGGATAATTTGATAGGCATCTGTGATGTTCCACATCTACTTTCATGTAAAATAGAGCACAAACAAGGTCAAACATCTTCAGCTGTTTTCTGAAGTTGCCACGGTAGCTAACACTGCAAGTCAGAATTGTCAGTGTTATCTGGTTCTGGCTGTTTCCTTTACCTTAGGCCATTCTTTCCTCCTCCCTCTGTAATGCTGTTTGCCTTCCTCTGTATAATGTTTTGAGATGTGGGAAGGAAAAATATTCGAAAACAGGAGATACATTACAGTATCTGCTCATCCACCTGAGGGTCTTGAGAACTAGGGCAATTCCATCATGCACATTGATTGGAAAAAAGTAGTGATTGTGGTAAGGAATCGCATCTCCTTGTACAGTCATCTCCGTCTTCTTCATCTCCATCGTTGGTGTGTATTTGTTTGTTAGCTTTCCTGTTGTTAAGTTTCCTTTTCGGTGCTGCCTACAGTTAAGAGGCTGTTTATCTGTTTACCCAACAATCTTTCCCTTGTGCCAGTGAACAGTAGGCAGAGGAAGAAGGAAGCTCATTCATAAACCATTTTGAACCTTCGACTAAAATGCAGTGATGCTTTCCCAGAAAATACTGCGTGTGGATGGAAAAGATTGATGCTGTTAGAAAGGACAATGCTGAAAAACACGATTCTACTCTTCCACTCCTGTGTGGTAAAAACCACCGAGGAAGAAGGCAGATGTCCTAACAGAGAATTCACAGGGCTCAGTAGAGTCCCGTCTCTTAGGGAACCAAAATTCAGAATAGCTGTCCCTTATGCCACTCCAACACACATGAAGAAGGTGCAAATGCTCCAGAACAGGCAGCAACTGCCAGCTTTTTCAAGGATAAGGAGCCTTGTGCTCTCACCTTGTCAGTGCTGTGCCTTTCATGTGATTCAGCACGAAAAAAGCTTCCCTGTTGCCTAGGAAGCCAGCTACTAATCTGAATGGTTCCTATCCTGAAATCAGGAGAGTTAATTTCTGTGTTAATTGTTAAGACACAGCAAATAGATCATATTGTGCATAGCTGAAAGGAGAAAAAAAGGTAGGAGGAGTCTGGTTTTAAGTAAAAATTATTTTCTTTATGTTCTAAGGAGAGAAATACAGTCGGTGTGATACACAAAATATAATTGTGTGTCATCAAGGGAGCCATCCCAAAACCACAAACAACCTCACAGTAAATTGACTCACTGATACAGAGACTATCTCACAACCAAATCCTAGTTAGACAACACAAGGTAGTGAGTTTGCAATACTCAGAGCATTTACTTTCCACATCACTGCCTAGAGGTCTGTGAATCTGTGAATCTACCACAACCCCTTTAGTGAACAAGATCTGTAAAATCCTTGGATAGCATCTCTGGCAGATACCATAGGTCGCTTAGAGTCATGAAAATAGCTCTGTTCTCAGCAAAACTTTAAATAAAGACCCCAAAGAGGCACAGAAAATAGATGTACAGTTGGAGGCTGCCTTTTTATATACAGGTCCTTATAGCTGCCTCTAATTTAGAGCAGCCTTGAGACCTGTCTAAACTGAGCCAATAACTGTACTGCCCTGAACTGACATTGTGTATTGAACCTTTCTGTGTCAGCCTGCACTTGAGCTCTAATTAAAACACTAATGAGATAACAACAGTAATTGCACTGTGGGATGGAAAGCAGCTGATACAATTTAGAGAAGTAAGATAAGGGCAAGCCCACCCTTCCCTCTCCTTATGGTTCCTTCCATCAGAAAGCACTGTTTGCTGAGGAAAAGAGCTCTCTGGAAATATAGTCTAAAAGGCAAAGCTGAAAAAATCCTGTTAAAATACATTCCTGATTGCTAAAATGTGCCCGCTCCCCTTTTTTATTTTTTTTAACTGACAGTTGAATCTCGTGTTTATAATTAAAATGCACAACTCTACAGTGTGTTAAAGCAACTTGACAGGCTCATTTTTTGATCCTTACATGGATACAATCAAACCGTATATAATGACTCCAGCATCACTTCTTATTATTGGAGTTGCTGACCCTTTCAAGGGTACCGTGGGAAACGCAGGATTAAGACCACTGAAGTTTGATGTCTGCCAGGTACTCAGGCCAACACGGTCAAACATCACCCTCCCAGTATGTCCCTATGCCTCTGCCTTAACACAGATGGGGACAAAGTGCTGCTTTGAGCAACCTGATGTAGTGGAAAGTGTTCCTGCCCATGGCAGGGGGTTGGAACTAGATGATCTTTAAGGTCCCTTCCAGCCCAAACCATTCTATGATTCTATGATTCCTCTTCCCTCCAGTGAGCAATGGTCACGAGAAATGGAAGACACAAAGATTTCAAAAATGATATAGTTCTGTGACCCCTTTCAGTCACGGCCAATGGGTTGGATCTGAACTAATGAAGAATTGAAATGTTCAACTGAAGTTCATGTTTTATGAAAGAACATAGAGGACAGTTCTGTGTACTGCTGGAAAGATAGACACATGAATTTTGCAGAACAAATTCAAATTAGTTCCAAAAGAGGGCTCACACTAAAAGCTAAAATTCTAAAAACTCAATCAAATTACAGTTCCTGTCCACATATGAGCACTCAGCCTGTGGCAGTTAAAATTGGTTTCACCCACCTTAGTTAGTTAAAAGCCAAATGCCCAGAGTACAGCTCAGCTGAGTTTTGGTTACTGGTTAGACAGAAGTAGCATCATTAAGTGTTCCAGAGACATCATTATACCAACCAGTAGCAATATGATAAGGGTGCTCTAGTTGGTAAATATTCTTAGTTCCAGAGGGATAAAATCTGTTTCTAAAGATGCCAAGTCTCTTTAAAAGGTAAGAGGATTTTGTCTGTCAAAAATTATTTCCACTGATTTTGATTTCTCATTTCCTTGCCTCTATGCCTTGAACTGCTGCAGCACAAGGTAGCACAACACCAAGAAACAGGACATGCAGGAGTTCTGAGCCTCACTGGGAAATGCAGATTCATAGAATAGAATCATAGAATCGTTAGGGC